ATATGCCCTCTTCAAAGGCGAAAAACACCCCACATCAAGAGGCTGCAGTAGATAGGAAGAGTGCGGAGGCATACATAAAGTAACAATTTTTGCTTCTGTGCAGTATTGCTGGAAGTTAACTGAGTTGTGGCTCTCATGACCGTCTAGAATGAGTAGGCGATAGGCTCCAACAGTACGCTCTTTTGTATGCCTGTTATAGTGCTCTAGCCACTTCATACCGAGCTCGTTTGTTGTCCAGCCATTCTCAGAGACTGCGAGAACCTAATCCCTAGGCAGGCTGTCTTCCTTGTACTAGGCAGAGAGGTGGTGCTTGCCCTGAAAGATGATGAAGGGTGGGATCGCCTAGCCAGCTGCGCTGACACAAACCACGCTGGTAACCCACTCTTTGTTGCCCTGCTGTAGAGATTTTGGCTTTGATCGACGATTAGAGGCTGTGACTACTGCTGACGAGTTGTGCATGCCCATCATAAAGCCCGTCTCGTCAAAATTGTACATGTCGTCGTCCTGGATCCCATACTTGGCTTTGGTATTCTGTACAAGGCGGAACCAGCCATGCACAAGCTCAGGATCTTCACAGAGGGCTCTCTTGTAGTCGTACTTTCGATTAAACTTCATCTTAAGCTCTGGGCGACGCTTTATGAATGCTTTAGGCCAGTTAGGGCCAACAGGGTCGCGGTGGCGGGCAGCCAGCAAAGAATCAGCTAGATCTTTGACAGCAGAAAGGCGCAGCGGAAATCCTCTTGCATCAAGATCAAGAATATTCTTAACAATTACCTCCTCTTCTGTTATAAGTAGTTTCATTGAGTTAGGCGAACAATCTTGTCGAGAAGGCTTTCCTGCGAGTCTTCGTCTTAGGGTACGTTCAGGCACGTTGTAGAGAGCTGCAGCGCGTGGAATGTTAATTGTCGCGTCGCATTTAATAGCCTAAATTGCAAGCTGTACTTGAGACTCTTTTGAGGACTTTTTTGAATGAATTTGTTGAGACATCGCGAGTAGTAGTGAAAGTTGATGGGGGCTTGGCATTTTCGGTCACTCGCTATTCTCGGCCACTCGCTATACTTTGACGTTATAATATTTTGAGTAATCAATAAATCTTGACTAAAAGTTTATATACAGCTTATTCAAGCTTAAAAGAGTCATATATAAAACTTTTATATTAGAAAATATAGATCCTGCTTAGTTAGTTAAAGTAGTATGAAAAATCTGAAAACTATAATAACTTTATATTTAAATCATAAACTTCTCTATAATTAAAACATAATATCTTCTTTTTATAGATATTCAATATAGAAAACAAAAGAAAAAAAATAGTATTAAACAATAGTTATATAGTAATGTATTTGATAGATTATCTGTTAAGGAGTGGTAGAGCTACTTGATATATCAGCGGTAGCTCTGGTTGATCGATAGATCTAGCACTCGGCAGGTATTTGCTAGGGGAGAGGAGATTGAGTAACTGAAGTAAAACTGTGATCTGATTGACTGTCTAGTAGACTGTTGGGTTTCCTCTAGTTCTATCTACTTAGCTGATCTACTACTATATATATTTGACTATATCAGATTCTAGAAGAATCTGCCACGTAATAGCTTGCGTAATCTTAGCGTAATAGATATCTGTTTGATCGATCAGATGTATGTTGA